ACACCAAGCGATTTTGTAGCTGTAACCTGGCTCACTTGAGTATTGTTCATAACAACCTAGATGTAAGGAATAACAGCAAAACCAGTCGCTGGTTCCTCCTCATAGGAGTGTTACTATCTGTAACTGGTTTCTGGCAGTGACGGAGAAATTTTTTGGTACAGCCATTTGCCTTTAAGACGTCGGACTGACATATTTTTTCTCCTCAGCCTTGGAATCAAGTGAACACGGTAGACAGTCAGCCCTTCTGAGTAGAGTTTCAGCTGCGGAAATCAAGGTGTCGTACAGTAGGTTCTGTTATTGGAATGGAAACAAGTCCAGTCGTAAATTCGCTTAATTCAGACTTGTCTCACAACCCCTAAGGAGGGAGGCGAGACCCGACAGTTATGTATGTCAAACATATCGCGAGTGCAGTCTGAGAAAGGAGAAAAATGGGTAAAGATGGTAATGACAAGAAATGCAGGACGTAAATTAACAACTGAAAGCGGCACTCTGACTATTGATTGAAATATTTGTCATGGTACTGTGTAAAAATCCGCATTGCTCCGGTTGATACAAAAAGAGGACAGAAAACAGATAATTACTTACAACACAATTTACTGTTGACGCTAATAATATCTAAGTCAACCTGGACTTATAATAAAAAGACTGATTATGATTAATAAGGCGTAGTCACTGAAAGCATAAAACATGCAAAAAAATTATGAATTTATCACGTAAACTCTCCTATGGCACATTTGACACTTCTTTGGCACATTTGCAAGTGAAGCAGTCCTCGGTCCTTAACAGAAGAAAAACTCTGTATAACGATCAAATTGATACTTCGTATTCCATCGGCGGAATACTTATGTTTAGGAAATGGGTAGTATTGTAAGTCCCCAATGTCTCCCTCATTGGAAGTCGTAATTATTCCTACGTTCGTAGCGTTTTATAAACTCAAAACCTCAGTTTACGCTTTTAAGAAAATTGTTTATCGAAACCCCATATGACTCCCCATTAGTTCGTCTATTTGTCTTTTTCGGTTAAGGTCAGTTATCCCGCGATCAGCTTTGCTCCGCTTTGGGTTGAGTAAGTATTTATTTCGATTGTATGGGGAAGCACTCGATGCATTCATACCTCTACTTCCCATCTCCCTCTCATAAAACTTTTTTACGGGTGACTTGGTCACCTAATGACTGTTGGTCAACTAACGAAGAAGTTATCATTGTATAAAGTCTCACAGGTACAGGAACACACTCACAAAATTATGGTAACGCATTTTTTCAACCTATATGCTAACAGAGCTTCGTCCGCATTGTTGGAAACTATAAAAATTTACTAAATGTTTGGTTTGTTGCTTTTAAACTTTAATCCTTTCACTCCCAAGATCTCATTAGTAATTCTCCTTAATGTCTGCTCTACAATTCTTATGATGTTAGTTTGGAGAATTTGGTATTGGATCTACTGATAATCCCCTGATTTTCTTTTTTTTTTTCCTTTTCTCATTACTAGTCTGCTTAATATTGTATTGATATTGTAAGGAGAAATTCTGTTTTGGTCACTACTGGGAGTTACGTACACGGTTAAACACTAAGGTAAAGTTCAACTTTGTCATTGATTAATATTCATCAACACCCAATGCTGTTAATCTATTTAAAGTGAAAATTCAAAAAAGAAAGACGGTTTCTGTTTTTGCCCCAAATTCAAGCTAATACAATTACGAATACTTTCTTGTTTTATATTTCACGATTACACTGAGTATAAAATAAAAAAAACGTCTCTAGAAATGTCAAGAGTTAAATTTCTTGTTCATATTAGTCGAGCAATGTCAACATTGTATGAGCCAGTCTGCACCAACCTGGGAATCCATCTTTTTCTCCAATAGCACCGATCCTTTGCACCAGCGATGGAGACACATAATACAGGGCGCGAGCAATGCCCATGGCTCGGTGGGACTACTCATGGGACAGCACATCAAAGTAACAGGAGGTCTGCACATCGTTGACCAGAATAGTCCCACTCAGGGTTACTGGGGCGTAGGCACCTTTCTCGTAGACACTGCTGATGTTCCGAACTGAATCCTTCTCTGAACCGTGGCTCCCCATCACGTACACTGTGTCTCCGATCTTAACATCTCTGGCCGGGATTACTGTTGCTTGGCCCATTACTTCTACAAACAGGAGGTGGTCAGCAGTTATCAGGAGGACTTTCTCTTTTGTGGTGACAATTTTTAAAAATTCTTCCACAATTTCTGGCTGACGGTGGATGAAGGTGATAACAGGCGCGGATTGGATGCCATTATTTATGATGACGAGGACTTCGTCACCAACTTTCAAAGATTCTATTCGTCTTCTCCGAGAATTTGCATCATAGACAATAGCTGAGCAAGGGTAACATCCACCACCACCCCAACCACCCCTACCACCACTACCACCACCACCACTACCACCACCACCACGAATATCATAAATACCCCAAGAGCTAGAAATAGCGTCCATCACTGCCTCGGTTGGCTCTCCTCCTTCAGGAGTTAAAGCTTTGTAAAGTACTACCTGTTTAGATTCGTCCCCCAGCTTTTGCACTTCGGCTTCCAACTTCGCCTGTTCCTCTTTCAGTTCAACAGCGTTTTCGCTCAACTTACGTTTCTCGTCATCACTTTTGTCTTTGTCTTCAAGTTGCCTTTTAATTTCTTCTTCTTTTCGACGAAGATCCTCTGCCTGCCTCGTCAATCCACTCTCGTCCATCGCTTTTTTTATTTGCTTGTCAAGCACTTCTCTAGACGCACCGGTCAGGTTGTGTATGAAAGGCCCTTTTTGCTTCCTCACCTCGTCAATAATCTGCCAAAAAAACAATAAATGCAAGAGAACAAATCAAATCACAAAGTCAAAGGAATGAAATGGGTCTAGCATATTCCTGAGTTCTGCAATATCAAGGAAACTTTAGAATGGATTTGCTTCAGTCAGCCACTTTCTTCAAGGAATAAACAAACAAATGACAATGAAGAACTCTGGCAACGCACCTCGAACATTTAATTGTCTTGAATCATGTATACTTCATCAAACAAATTTGCGTGTGGCATCTCGAACTGACCGCGCTATTGATTGTCTGCAATTATCGAAGCCAATCAAATACTTTATAATAATATTTTTCAATTCAATTTCCTTCCTCCCACTACTTATACTAAGATATACAGGTACGGTGTATTTGAAATCTCAATAGAGCGGGGCTTCAGGATTTGAATTTCGCTTTTGTGAAACTCTCACACTTAGGGAAATATTGCAACCCATTGGGCCCAGAGAATTTGGTTGGACTTCCTAGGTCTTACACCGTAAGTTAGATGAAGTTTTTTGGAGACTAAAACACAAAAAAGTTAAAGAAAAGAAAATAAAGCTTTAAGACTTTAATCTCTGAGAGGAAATGTCCAAACTCAGGCTGGGTGTTTTGATGTTCTTTTTAACCCTTTACACCCTAATATTAGTTTTCAAATTCTCCCTTCTGTTCTCTTTACATTTCATATGGCGCTGACAAGGAGAATTTGTTTGACACTCAGGACCCTCTTAAAATGATGTAAATATCTTTTAGATCTTATTCAAAGTCAAACTCTTGTGACAAGTGCGCCTAACCACTTTCTTCGAAAGATACAAGAAATTTTGCTCATTTGATGTGGCTCAGCTAAATACAGAGTTTTTCCACACCTCCTTTTCTAGAAAACTCAACGGGCGATCCGGAAGCTAACACTTAATTCTCCTAAGGAGACGGGTAAATTCTCTGCCACCTTTTTTCTTGTTCCTTTAAAAACTTTACTCTTTTCCTAAGTAACGAAAAGGCTCGTTACCTATTCAGCCACTGACCTACAACTACGATACTACAGATTTTGCTCTGACTCAAAATGGGCTTTACAGTACCTGAAGTAACTTGGAGACTTGCTTCTTACGATCATCAGGTTTTTCGTCGGGATCCAAACTGTTGTCAAACAGCACTCTCCTTTCTCCTATTTCCGTGATAAATTTCTGAACAAAATCTGGCAAGGTAGTGATGTACCATTTTAAATGGTCTTCGATGCTCCTCTTCTTTTTCTTTGCGTCGCGGGCAGCCTGGTCGCCATGTGTCAGAATTAAAATGATGTAAGAATGGGCTTCAGAGCCAAAAAACGATTTAAGCATTTTCAGAGCTTCGGCATCATCGCGTCCAAATCTGCCACCATACTTAATGGTAATGATAATAGCATCAAGACCGTCGGGGGACATGACAAAAACCTTGGCGAGTTCTCGGAGAATGTCTTGTTGTCTCTCATTGAAAAGACCAGTCACGTTCTTGGCAACTTCTTTAGCTTTTTCCCAGGCCGAAATTGGGACCGTATCCATGATTCCAGGGGTGTCTATTACGGTCACCTCTCTTTCATCTGTTCTCTTGGCTGCATTGCAAAATTTCGTCACAGACCCGCCACATGGACTGTCTTCGAAACATTCACTACCAATTATTGAGTTTCCAGTGGCGCTTTTTCCGTTCCCAGTCTTTCCAAACAGAACAATCGTTAGAGGAACTCCTGAAGGCAGCTTTTAAAAGCATTAAATGATAAAAAGAACATTAGAAAGAGAGACTTCAGCTGTGCCCAGATCTTCGACAAGCATGTACCGGTCCCGAGGCCCGGTAAGGTACCGTTTCTCGAAAGTCCCGGTAATTTAACGGGCACGAAGCCATGTTTTGAAATCCAAATTTAAAGAATAGAAAAGCAGGATCTGGCACCCAAACCAGTCCTTTTTGTTTCTTTCACTGATATTTTAATCGTATCATTTTCAAAACTTTTGAAATCCACATCTTGAATGAGAACAGGACAGCTTTATGGGCCCGTTAAATTACCGGGACTTTCGAGAAACGCGCCTTTCTGTGGCGTCTTAACAGAGGGATCCCCTATTAGCACTGTATAGGGAATAAAAATTCTGCCGATAGGACTAAACTGAAACAAGGTGCACCAAATCTACAACTGCTAAGAAATCTCATCTAATTTGTAAATATATTAAAAAGGTCAAATATCTGTGCGCATTACAAGGTGGTCTGATCAAGTTTGGAAATTCACTCTCCTTGAATTGTTGAGTTTTTAAAAATGTGATTGAATTCATATTGCAAATGTCTTCAACTAATTTGTGCTAATGAAGAAAATTTTAAATTTCATTGTACGAATTATTGTTTCAAATGGGATTTGATAGGTTTTTGATGAAATTTAAAACACTTCAAAAGCTGCTTACTGATCGATTCCTTTCTACCTTTACTCCCTTCTGTCACCCTTTACCACCCCTAATCGAAGTCTGCTTGATCCACCCTTTCGAAACTACCCTTTGAATCGATTTTGTGAGACATTTAACAAATGGTAAACAACACAGCATGCACTTTCGAGTTATGAATGCACGCGGGAGGTGCCAAGCACGAAAGAAGCTTAAGAGTCGCTTGAGGCGATTGCCAATAGCGACTCTAGCTTCTCGAGTCTTTTTGAGCTCGCAGGAAACTATTCTTTGCATTTGCTCACGTCAGCAGCGTACACACATGTGCATGACAGAGCTGAATAACGTACACGCATGCGCTAGATTTTGCCGCAGAAACACGGATTTTGAGTCGTTCGCATGAATGATTTGCTATTCTGTTGCTTCGAGGTGTCGTTTTCCTTGCCCGCTTTTTCTTTTACAGAACAACCTCCAAAAACTTGGTACACCCCCTGAAAATTTTAAAAAATTAATTTTTCCTTAAAACCTCTGGAAGTAGGAAAATGCCTTCGACGAAAACAGAGTTCCTCAGTTTTTGAAAGTCTGCCCTTACTATTTTCCGTTAATTTCGCTAAATTTTAGACTGAGGACACTTGAGCCAGCGTTGTTGACCGCAACCCACTAACGTTGCATTTCATTATTCAGCTCTGTCCATGTGCATATGGTGGAAAAGGAATTGACCAGCCAGAGCGCGCGCTTTCCTTTGGTTATGTTATAATGTAGCTCCTATCTCTTTGACGACGATTCTCACCTTGATTGTGGCAACTGGTGCCTGTGAAAAAAAACAAAATGAATAAAGATAAGTCGTAACCTCTGTGCGACAACTTTTAATTCTATCAGCTGAGAGAAAATGCATGAAGAAAAATCAACATCTTGTATTTTCCTAAATTACTACTCACCCCGTGATTGGTCGGTTTAGCTAACCCTACCACACTGAAGGACCCGTTAGAATTTCAAATGGACATAAATATAGTTAAGAATAAAGCAGTTCAAAACGATGGACATAAAGAATTTAGAGGCGATGATAAATCTTTTTCTCATAGGCGATGCAAATCAAAGCTGGCCGATGAAAACCGAACATCCTGACTTAAATTATTTCCCTCTGGTTTCGTAAATGGAAAGTGCACCATTTATTAATTTCGTATGAAATAGCTTATAGCCTTCTCACCCTCTTTTAGGGCCAAAACAGCATATCTGATGTAGTGCTAGATTTTCAAGAACTTTCATGAAAAACGCATAGAAAGAAAAATACTGGGCTTAAAACATCACTCGCACTGCACTTTTGCCTTTGTAGGTTCAATCACGATCATCGTCATCTTGATCGTCATCATCGCCATAATCGTCATCGACGTTGTTATCATCGTCAGTATCATTGTCATCGTTACCATGGTATCCTTACCGGCGTTATCTTCGTCTTCGTCTTTCAGCGACTGAGTTAATCGTCATCATTCCTACTAATTTTTATCTTTTTATGCTCACCTTGTGTTTAAGTATTTTCTTCCATTCACGACCAAATTTTCCCTTTGTAGCGCGTCCTCCACGAGCATTCTTGTATGCTTCCATACATTCCTTAATCTTCTTTGGTCCTTCCATGCTGTTCAACGCTTTAATTACTTCTTTAAAGTTCTGTTGAAGTTCTGTGAGCTCGCTGCAAAAATCGTCAACTTCATCATCTTCTTCATTCTCAAGGTATGCCTCAGCGAGAGCTTGGGTGTTTCGAATATCATCAAAACGGCTTTCCAGTTCGTCTATATCACTGCATAACGCCTGCTGTTGTATGTTCGTTTTCGCGTTCGGAATGATGCTACTCACTGGCTGAAGCTCAAACTGCAAATAAACGAAGAACTTTGTAACGAGTGCTCGGGTACATTACCACATTTTTGGGTTGATAAGAATCTCTGATCGAGTGTGCAATAGAATTATACCCAAACGTTCTTTACCGACGAGCTAGAGAGGGTGTCTTCATTACAAAAATTGTAAAGAACAACTAAATTGTAATTAAAGAAACGTCGGTATAGGATCATCCGATCCCTTTTTTCTAAGAACTAATTAACATTTCGCAAAATATCACAGGCCAAAGCCTACTCTTGTAACTACGCTTTCGCATTAGGAATAACGTGTTTCGCTGGTTGAAACTCAAACTAAAAATATGCAAAGAGCTTTTTAACGACTCCCTGAGTACACCATCTTCATTTTTTGATAGTCAAGAATCTCCTACGGTGAGAAAGAATCCTTCCCAATATTATAAATATTGTCAAGAATAAGCATATAAAAAAGACAAATGAGTTAACGTCAGTATCTGAGCATCAGCGCACCTACACCAACCCCCAACCTAAAAACATTTAACTGTTAACAGGCGAGGGTTTAGGTAATTTCTGGAGAAAAAAAGTTATATTTAACTGTTTAATTAAAGTAAACTTTTGGCCTCCATTTTCCCTACCAATGCCTGTTTCGAAACGTACAATAAAATATAGGCATCCTACGCATGCAAGAATTATTTTTTTGGATGGGTAGACTGAGATAGAACAACTGGAGTTGCTGATTTTTTCGGTTTTGTAGAAGAATAAAGAGCATTAGCTTTCAAGGTTTCGGACAAAAATACCGTTCGATAGAGAGTTAAAAGACATTTCGATTTATATCAAAAAAAACTCAGACACAGGTATTCTGAGGTCTGTTGTCGCTGTTGTTTAAACAGTTATATGTAGAAATAAACTGTACTGGTGCCACTTTTACCGGTAGTCTCCTTCTCAGCCATTTTTTGGTCTCGTCAAGCAACATGCTCTCTCCCCCATCCCCTCGGCGAGACGAGAGCAAACAAAGGATGCGAATGAGACTTCGCTAGCATGCGTGAAGGCTCTCATAATTGGTGCTTCTGCACACACGTTATTAAGTTTACGGTGGAAAGCAAACCAAATCTTCCTTTTATCTTTATCTTTATCTTTTCGACCTTAGCTAAAAGAGCAACCCAAAGTTTATCAATCAAATATGCTCTATCTAATTGGTGCAAGCGACATACCACTTGATCGATAACATATAGTTGTTTCTTTTCTCAAAAACAACTCAAAAATAGAAAAAAAAAAAAAAACTCTACACTTAAAAGGGACACCTAATTCTAAAAGAACGAGGCTCGCCGATAGTGCTCAGGGACGCACTCAGATCAGGCGATACAACTGCCTGGAGGTCAAACAAAATTGTCAGTGGTTTACTTTAAACAGACATTCAACTTAAGATGGTACCGAACAAACCACTTTTACAAAATGTTATCGGCAGACTCAACAGATCATGGATCTAGAGACGTCCTTCCCCTTAACCAAAGAACCCACAGTTCACACAACATAGCATGCAGCAAGTTAAAGAATTGCACAAACAACAGCAAGGATGAGATTTAACGTGGTTAATAAAAATGTGGCGCGTTTATTCACTGAAATTTAAAGACCTGTCAAACCACAGATAGCAGGAACGCTCTGATTGGTGCACCGTGCTTGTTTAGAATAGAATACTTTATTTACCCACGTATCACCTAATAGCTAATAGCTCGTTTAAAACGTGAACGTGAAACTAATTACAAATAATGAGCTAATAAAAACTAATATTAAAAGATAAAGGTATTGAAAAGCTATATTTTTACTAATTTATATGTACTATATAATTATTAAGCGAAAGTGCGTTAAAAATCGAGTTAAAGCCTCGCCATAAACGAATGCAACGCGCGCCTAAAAGCGGCCAAGTCCGGACATTCCCTGACTCTAGTTGGCAAACGATTCCAAAGCTTAGTAGATAAATATGACCAAGACTTATGCATGTATTCTAACTTGAACGATGGCAGCATAAGGCGTGTGCCAGACCCCCTTAGGTTGTAATTCACATTTAAAACATTTAAGCCCATCACATTTAAGAGATGTGATGAGCTTAACTTACCCCATTCATGCCTGTCCTTGTACTAATCACAGGCGTCATTTCATCTATTCACGGTACATTTTGCGGTAGTCTGAAGCAAGGGTTTTAAAGTAACATTTGAAAAAACTTGATGGGTAGTGTAGTGATATAGTTAAATTGTGCGTGACAGTCCGGCGTGACTTTGACCCCTGCACGAGTTAGTCGCCGCATGACTTGTGACAGGATCCCTGTTCTGTATTAAAATTGTGTATGTGTTTGAACAAACTCTGGGCTGGTTATTACAGGTAGAAAGTCCCGAGCATATGGAACAATTTGAGACATAATTTCTGGAAAAATTTCGTAATTTTAAACCACATCGACCTAAAACGTTGCTCGAGTCGTTCCTTACATGATCATAATTTATAATTTTCAATTTCATAATGCTGCGGAATCACCTTTATGTTGGGTAAGAAGAGACGTCGGTGTGCTGTTGCTCAGATACTGACGTTAATCCAAAACAATTACCTCGGTAGAAGACTCTCTGACCCCATATTTAGAAAAAAATATTAACTTAAAATATAGGATAATTATTGATTGATAGTATATTATAATAAAGTTCAGATACAACGCGCATTCTAATTTGTTGATATGTCCGACTATTTCCCGTAGTTCTCTCTAGCTTTTTTTGTCAATTGAGGCAAAGGTCTTTCATGACCTGTAATACGAAAATAAAAACAAGCTGTAGGACTCAATTGATACAAAGTAACCCGCAGGTAATAGAAAAAATTACACGGAGATAGTGCGTAAATTTTGGAAGAGGCGAGTTGGAAAGTAGAGTAAAAATCATGATTTCCTCCTCCAGATACTCGAAAAATATGACGATTATATTGATTTGTCTGCTTTAATAGCACAACTATAAGACCCCAGCTTGTTCTGTTTTCTTGCCGTAACTTAAATGCATTAATGTAGTTGCAATTTGTCTAGAATTCTTAATCTCTTGCTTTGTAAATCTTTTTATTTTATAATATACGTATTAAACACTGCCCGCCTCGACTAGCCTTTGCTAACTGCATGCAGCGCATATTTTTTGTAATATTTTAATATTGTAATATATCATTAATATATCATTAAGTAGTAACAAAAGAACCAAACAAAGGTTTGTAAACATACCAAGGTCCAAACTTGACGAAAATATAACGTGAGCAGTGACAAAAATCACTAGACAGAAAACAAAATGGACTGTCCGAGTTTTGAAGCTCAGTTAGCTTGTCCTAAGTACCTATTGTGATAGAACTTTGTCTCGCGTTTCTCCCTGCACTTCTTTCGTGCTCCAGCCGCTTCCTAAGGCTTTCCACAGAGCACAGTCAAGGCTTCTTTCTTTGTTAAATGAAATGCCACATATTTTGGGGAAACTAGATATATACATTGGAATCTTACCTGCATAGGAAACCCTTTACCATCATTAATACTTTTAAGTCGTGATGGGAAATCCTCAATCAGTGACACAAGTCCTTCCATTGTGGTTGGCAGTTGGTCTGGTAGGTCGGTGGCGTAATATTTGATTGAGATGTCTGATACATCGTTGCATTCTTGTGACAATTTGTCTAACGCATCCCGAAGTCCTACATTAACGCCTCCCCAAACATCTAGTTTTCCTTCAGCACTTCCTTTTATTTGGTCACTAAATAAATAAATAATAAAAGAAGCATTGTACAATTTCTGATTGTCTTGCTAACCTAAGACGATTGTTTTCTCATGATGAAAAACAACCTGCTGCAGGAAACTACAAAATTTCAGGTTAGGAACTCGTTTCTGTACAGGCCAAAACTGCCTCTGAAAGCAGGAGTACTTGTTTCTATTTCTATCATGACAAAAATTTTTCACATAAAAATAGCATTGGCATACTTTGATGACTCTGCTGATGACTTGAACGTCAGGCTAGCAACCATTTCGACTCCATACGTAACACTCCTTACGTAGTGAGTACCAAGTGAATGAAGAAATTCACCGCTGTTGACGTCATCTCTAACTGTAAATGAACCTTCGATGGTCTCAACAAGCTGAGGAATTGACGTGATAAACATCGTTAATTTGGGCATACCTATCTGATAAATTCTCGGATAAATTCTCAAGTCTGATCGACAATATTTGAATTAGTCTCGATAAGTAATCCTTAGATGCTAGTCTCCATATCTCTCTCCCTCTCTGGCTTATACCCAAATGTTTAGTTTTATCGACAAAATGATATCTGATTATCTAGCCTTGATTTTCTCTACCCATGATGTTCGTGCAGTATTCAAATACATTTTTCTGCACTTGAGACCGTTCCCAAGTCCGTTATTAAGTATGTAGATACCGCTAAGGAAATTGTTTTTCGTAGTAAGACATCAGGCGAGGGCCTCTACTAAGATGATTGAGTAGAAAAAGAAACAAATTGATTCGGCATCACTTCCTTCACGTCATTTTTGGTTCATTCCTAGCCAAATCCAAAGACTTTTCCCTTCACAATAGGAAAAATGCAGTGACCATAAGCCAAGAGATTATCAATTACCTGACCAAGACCAAGGTTTAATTGGTTATATACCCTACTGTTTTCCGTATTTATTCAACGAAATTTTCAAAAGGTTTGCTAGCAGAAGTTTTACAAATGGCGGCATAGTATCAGGATTTCAAGAAGAAAAATATATTACCGTGGTACATTTCATCACAACCAAAAGGGTCGTCTTTCCTTCTTGGACTTTGTTCTCTTTAACATACTGGCCTGCCCCTTCCACTTTCAGAAGATTGGCTTTTAATTGTAAGGAGAGTTTACCAGGTATGTCCAGTAAATCACTAGCATCTTTGCTACTTTTTACCACTTGGTACTTGAAAGAGAATCTGTTGATGTTTATCGATTTAATTGGTATGTTATTGCTTGATGAGTAGATGTCCGCGCGGGCGCTCAACGTTTCATTGTCAAATGTTCTCCCTAGGCACAAAGTGGGTGAAGTGTAGGCTGGAATATTCATTACTTCTAGGAGACAAATAAATGATAGCAGTTTAAAACATAAACAATAAAGGAATCAACCGTTAAGCCATGCTAATGAGATAAAGTTCAAACAATCATTATTCCTCCATGTGAATTGAGTACTCTTATTAAGGCAAATTAATAAACTTTAAGCACTGATTATTCCAATTTTTCGTCATAATTGTATCCTTTTTGAACCTAAGGGAGTGTTTGAAGATTGAATAATAAAAATTTTTACTTGAAACGTACGATGCTTTTTTTGTTCAAAAAATTTCTTTTCATTATGTGTTAGAGTAATCGTTTCTAAATATCCAAGATGGCGGAGGCAACATGGCGGATCCAACGTGGTGTAGGGATATCAATGAAGATATGTTGTCTTTGTAGCGATGGCATCTAACCTAACTAACGGCTGTGAATCTGTCATTATTTTTCTTCTTCCATTTGGTGAGAATTTTGCGAGAAAAGACATGATACAAAAATATTTCAGAATTTTACGCCTACACCAAAGTACATTTCAGCCTTGCCATAGGAAAAAATCGTTGAAACTCTAATAATTTTGAACTCAGAACTTTTAAACACTCATCTGAAAGAAACTTCTATCATTTTCATACATAAAGTACCCATAAAGAACGGTTAACGCGTTTGCAAAGAATAGTGTTAGGCAGTTATCGTTTGTTTCCCATGGTGCTTCCTGGGTGGGCTAGTACGAACAAGATGGCTGCCACGAACTTTGGGTCTCTAGTCTTTATGACATTTATGTTGTTATATTGTGATCGCATGTTTTATGATCTGACCCAAGAGCTTCCTGAGATCATCTCGAAGCCATTTAAAGAAAATAAGGTTCTGCTATCACCGTGTTCTGGGGCAAAAGTACTTATTCATCCTGCCCGCTCACAAGAGTCTCTCTGGCAAAGCATGGTTTTCGAAAATCTCGTGTGAGCCTTTCGATAAGGACGAAACATGGTCAGACTACGCTGCTCGTAGCCGGACATGATCCACCTATCGACATCACTATCTCTACTGATGTGTCTATGTATCCTGGCCCTCAAGATTCAAATACGTTGAGTTTTACAAAGACGAAACCATTTGAAAATGGAATATTCATTCTTGGGATAAGGAGAAAAATTATTTTCAGAAGACTCGAAAAGTGATGTCCTTACCAAACAAATATTGGGTCTTCAGGGAAAAACAGTAATTCTTCTAATAACCTTGCTTAGAATATGGGATTCTGCCTAAATGAGTATAGCAGTAAGTATTCTTAGAAGAATAACTTACTGACTTGTTCTCGTCAAAATGGTTTTTTCTTGGGAAAAAAACGAGCATTCTTTCAACAAGAATCTGAAACATGTGAGATTCTTCTCGAAGGAATGTTTATGGTTAGAAGACCCACAGTTCTTTCCTTGGGAACCAGATGTCTTCTCCTCAGAAGTTATAATATTCATCTGGGGACGAGAAGTCTGAACATAGTTAATCGAGGGGAACAATGGTCTGAACTTATAAATTCTTCTCTGAAGAGACACGAATCTTCCTAAGAGAATTTAATTTTTGTTCAAAAGAATTGAACTTAAGAGTGATATGCGAACTTTCATAATTACAATTCATAACCCTTCACAGTAAGAAATTTTAATGAGTTATCTTTTAAGATGATTAAATCATTGCGATTTGTCTGTAGGTCCTCCCTTAGTCAACGTTCCCTCAAGGAATAAAAACTGCACCTTTATATAACCTAATACTCCTCTTGAAAACATTTCATTCATAATCATTCGCTGCAGGCGAACTATTTAAACAATAGAGTGTTTCTGTCGAGGAACTATCGGCTGATAGTTGCCCCGGGGAAAGATGATGTCCTTAAAACAAATATTTTCCCGAGAAGCGAAGCTTCGAGGGCAAATATACTGGTTTTAAGAATATCAAATTTCCAAGGGGCAACTATCAGACCGATAGTTCCGAGACATAAACACTCTATTGTCTTTATTGTTCACCATTAAATTTTCTTCCGCGCGCCAGTTGAAAAACAGTCCAATCCCACTAAATGCAGATCAATCAATTATTTAATCATGCATACAGCCTGTCACAAACGTCAATAATTCGCAACCGCACATTGGTTAAATAATACGCTATGCCGGTCAGAATTGAAGAGTCACTGTTTTTCTGATCTGCCTAACTTCGCGGCAGTCAAACTATTCAAATATTTTCACGGATGAGCACTATCCATCGAGTTCATAGAACGAGAGCAATCCTAGTTCTTTTTACCCGTCCAATTCATCGCGGGGACGAACTGAATGCATTCCAGCCTCGATAATTTCGGAAACTTCAACATTAGCAGCCATTGCGGAGCTCGGAACGGACAGGACACCAATCAGAGGCCCAAATAAACTTGCTTGGAGGATGTTGTTCCACAATATCTACGCCGACTGGTTCGCGAAACGCTGCGCCAGCTCCGCTGATCGGCATTTACGAGCATTGCCAAGGTGGGCAAATCTTGTGCGTAAATAATATTTGCTCAAACATAAATGTGTGCAAATCTTAGCAAATGTGGCATTTACTACAGATTTGCCTAATCTTTGACACCTATGTAAATCCATTTTTTCATGCAGTGCAATTTAAACCAATAAGAATCGGAGAAATTTTAGTCGTGAAGTATAATGTGATGTAGAGCCGCAATCAGTTTTATAGAAGCAGAGTACAAGGCCTATGCAGCAGCTAGAATCTTGATGTTTCCGCCACTGTTTCGTTTCGTTGGTTCATTTGGCAAGAGTTCCATATAACCCCCTACATTAATTATGCATAGAGTATTGCAAACAAACTTTATATTTAGTCTTTATGAAATGAATGCATAAATTGATGTATGGAGCTATATGGAACTCTTTCCGTTCATTTTTAGTGCCGTGTTGCCGTGATGCCGTGACCTGGTTACGCCAAAAATTGTAAGTTCGTTTTTATTTCATTAAGTTTTCTGCCGTTGTTTTGGCTACGGATTTTCTTGTTCTAAACAAACCGCTTCCGATCCAAGATGGCGTCTCTGAGTATTTCTTTTCTGAGTTTATTCTTCGTTGATGAGCATAAATCCATAACAAAAGGCCAGAATCACTACAAATGAGGTCACGTTGAGACTTTTAAGGAGTTATCAGAAGTCAAGTCAAAGCAAGTATGAAGGATATGCGATATATAGTGACGGTAAGTTCTACGATCATTGGCCTTCAAAACGGATAATTTTATGTGATCTATGAACTCCTGATTTCAGTCTTATTCCTTTAAATAAAGCGCAACTCGTTTACTGAGATTGTTGTGATGAAAGGAAACAATGTTTTTTCAAACATTAACGAATGCACTTCACGTTAGTTTGAGCCATATATTCATGCTAAGGCTACCAACGCTTTGATCGCAGCAACGCTCATTTGTCTCTATCATCCTTCCAATTTTAGATCTACCTTGATGGTAAATTTAACATAAAGTAAACTAGCCGTGAACGTCCACGTGGAGCATTCGGCGCCCTCTTCATCCATGGCATCCATAATCTCAGCCTAACAGACATCGAGTGTTCGTGGAAGATGAAAAAAAAACTGAACCCAACAACAATCAACAATCAGCAGCTGAAATGTTCCCACTGAATAAGCAATACAAAGTGTTATCACGAGATCCTAACGAAGAGAACAGAAATTTTTTATTTTCAAGGCTGCAAAGATAAGGAAAATTTACTGGTGTATGGCTGATAATCCAATGCCTATCCCCACAATAGAAGAGCTTATATATTGTGAGAACTTTTTAGAAATTCAAGGTCTACAAAATCAGATTGCCTACATGCAAGAGAAGGCCAAAGTGACCACAAATGTAGCTTATGCAATGTCTGAACTGACCAAAGGCCAAAGAGATAACTCTATGTGGCACCAAGCAAGGAAAGGTGGACTAACGGCAAGCAACTTTGGGAGTGTCCTCAAGTGCAAATTAAGAGTAACACCATCTGTAGTACACAGCGGTTAAAATGAAATCGGTTTTATCCACGTACCTAAGAGAACTAGCTAAATAATTAAACACACGCTGTATATATATGCAGGTCTCGAGGGTATTACATCACACCATCACGCATCACATTACATCGCGCATATTGCATGCTCGTTGGCATCCTATACACTAAATCATCTTTAATGAAGCATCTCTTTGGAGATGACTTTTCAAGACTGAAACTCTTTTCCATTTAATGGAAAAAAGGATTTAAAGTTCTTTATTAATTCAACTGCACTACCCGTACAAGAAACTGGTCTGTGGTTACATGAGAGAGGTATACTAGGGGCATTACCTGACGGACTTGTGGGTCAGAATCATGTCCTTGAAATTAAGTGGCCATATATAGAATAAAATGAACTGATTGTTAATGCAGTAAAGAATGAGTCCTTCTGTTTGAAAATCAACAAAGATGGCGGTTAACTTGCTATACCTTAGGGGTAAATATCCCTTAGATAAAAGGAATAAATATGATAAAGGAGTAAATATCCCTTATTTGCATTGTAAATACCCCTTAGAGGGATATTTACAAAGACACCATGTGGGACAATATCCTCTATGAGGAATTTCTTGTCAGCTAGAACCAAGTCACCAGTTTCCAACTGTTTCAACAAACCTGACTTTTTTACAGTGTCTTTGTCTGAAATAGAGCCAGGGAACGGTGGACTAATAAAAGTGGTAACAGCATTAGGTGCCACTCCAACTAAAACTTTAAATGAATTCATTCCTGTATAGCTAGGATAGGTGGCACACTGTAGGCTCATAAGCCCTAGGGCTGCTATCTCTATATCTGTGCAGTCTATCACTACTTTACAAGAGCCGAATCCTGAAAAAGAGGGTGGTGAGCAGGTGTTGTTTTTCAATCTTGATGGAATGGTTGTCATAATATCTTCAAACAAAAGATCATGTAAAACTTATGCAAAAGTAATAACAATATCAGTAATAGTAACTTGAGAACAGCAAAATAGCTATGCTAGATGTATATTGGTGTAATTCTGTCTACATTTCATACAGGCAATAAAAATCTGATCTTCAAAAGGTATCGTAAGAACAGCCCCAACATAAAACTAAGAAATGGAATCTTTAAAACGTAAAGCATAATCAACAACAATGTTAAAAGTCTTTCTGATAGGTAAACCTGTTTCCATCCTCAAGACTTATGGACTTAGATTTGTTGTACTGTATAATGAGTTTTCTGGTACTGTTCTTTTTTCTCACTGCAGTCTAGCTTCCTCTTCCTGCAGTCTAGCTCTGCTTAGAGTACCATCTCTTGCACTGATGAACTAGCAGTAGACCTGTTTTCTGCGTTATCTTTTTCTTTGACACCATTTCTTCGACAGATTCTGCTTGTGAGTTGTCGGCATGTTTTTTCAGTTTCCGTGCCTTTGCTTTTGCCTTTGCAGCAGCCGAGCAGTCATCAGAAGGGAAAGGAGTGTTGAAATTTCGCGCAGAAATCTAAGGCTCATTTTCTTTAAAGCCATCACGAAGTGGCAGCTGCAAACTCTGGAGTATTTTCCTCGAGATCAGTCAGCTCGTCTGCGGAAAACATGCTTTAATACCACAGGAAACACTCAAAAAATGAAAAGACGACTTGTAAACAAAAGACTTCCATATTTTCGCCACGATTTATCTGCTATCAAAACGATCATAAATCTTACCTTAGAAGTCTTAACCAACGTTTATAATCTTCTTCCTTCTTTGTACTGATTGAAAAGCCAAAAAAACGGCAGCTATGGCTTTCTGAAGCGTGATTACCATCAGGTGCAAAGCACAAAACCATGTTGATCTTGCCGTCACAAGAACGCTTCAGTTCTGACGTTAAAATTGTCAAAAAATATCCAAGAGATATCGATAATTGAATGATTATATCAACAATTACTTTCGATTGTCTATTTTATCCGCTTTTCTGACCTAAGCTAGTTTTGTTTTCCGTAATAATTGGAAGTTAAGTTACCAAAACAAAGAGGTCACGTTAATGACGCGCAACGTGAAACATTTGTTTAGAACAAAAAAATATAGCACCATGGCAACGTGACGTCACACTTTAGAACTCCATAAGAAGAACAATAAAGAACAGTTGTGAACATTTTCCCAAATACATCTTTACCGCTGAATTTTCCCGTTCATATTATCAAGCAAACGATGCCGCAAGAGTAAAGATTTTAGTTAGGTGGTGGTGACAATAAAGTCAAAAATCAGCAAAAAGGCAAGTATATTCAAAAGAACTACAAGTATGAGTGCACCCTCATGACCTATTCGTGGCTTGGCTGTCAAGAAATTATTAGATGCATATTATTCTTGTGACCTGTTTGGGCACGCACGAGTGATTCACGGCGAAAATTCAGCGGCGAAGATCTATTTGAATAAACTGTTCTCAGTTGTTCTTCTTAATAACATTTGGTGACAAACTCAATAGCAAATAACTAACAGGTAATAAGACTTCACTCTAGTTTGCAGTTGAATATTTTTATTACATTTCAGTCGATTCACATCTTTACATCGGAATACACGTCATCTAGCAAATAGATTAAATGTGCATTCACTTAATTTGTGGCGGTACGAGAGAGTTCAGGGTTAACGTTGTGCTTCAGACAGTCAGTATTTTATTCCTATACAATTATAGGATTGTTTTAAAGGCTGGCTATTCCTGAATTCTTCTCGTCAGAACCCTTGTTGTATAAAGCTCTCTAAAGAATGGTTTCTAATCCAATGTATTCAGCAGAGGAAGTGATTCCTGACAGAAATAACATACTGTTGATGCTTGGGAAGTGCTTTAATATCGAGGGGCCTTAATTCACTGTAGCTGTATGGAAATCATGTTATAAGGAAACGCACAGCATGGAATAGTTCACAAAACACATCAAAATTCCTTTCTCAACAAACTTGCTAACCCAGAGAAAGAAGCAACTAAGTAATAATCGATTTCTTTTGTCCTAGTTTGGTATGTCCAAGATTTATTTCTTAATTACAATACTCACGATAGTGAGTAGCAGTGCGATAATCAGTGCAATAATCAGTGCAATAATCAGTGAGTACGATAAATTTTGTACTTACTGATTGGGAAGTGACTTAGCAATTTCAGAACAGCCAGGCAACTGAAAAATCTCAAACTAAAGTTAAAGGCTAGTTCATGAGCAGCGATTGTGGAAACTCGACCAGTAGTATGGATTGTAACCTGATTAAAAGCATGACGATGTCATCATTTAGCATTTTCCTACCCTTGGCCGGTTTTCATAAAAATCCAGAATCTAAAATGAAAGGACTATTACAGTTTTATTACAGAGAGACGAAAGACCTCCCTACCATTAACCGTTTGGAGAAGTTTCAGCGCGTGGGGTTCTCCATTTTGAAAACAGAGCCATTTCCAATTTCGTAATTTGTATGACTCGACACTTAGGTAGCGGCCCGGAAACGTTCTTCTCTGACTTACAGGCGACACTCGCTCACAGAGTCCACAAAATACCAGTTTCTTATGTTTTAACGTTGTTAATTGGAAACAAAAAACCTATACGAGTGTCTATAGAAGTACTGATAAAATAACTGACTCTGACTTACCCTTGCGCTTTATTTTTCACTTTCGGGGATGAACACGAAAGCCGTAGACCTGCAGAAAACATGTACTGGCAACTTCAGCGATCTATGAAACGGACAAAATCAACATTGACTCCAGAGAATGTCATGCAGCCACACATGTTGTCTAAAATAACACCTACTCGAGGAAGGCAACGATCGAAGGAAACTGATCATTCGACAGCGCCCAGGCCGATATCGCTAATTCACTTGAATCAAAGTCTAAAAAAACTTGAACCGCTCTTCAACTTACCTGTGCAAGAAGATGATTTAGAAGTACTCAGAAAAAAGCAATAAGCTGCACTGAATACAAATTTCGCTGCAGGCGTGTATCGCTTGTCGAATTAAATCACTTACGCTTACGTCACATACGCTTTGCACTATTCGGATGCAAATTTGAGTAACATAAAAATGTTTCCCAAACTCTCAGACGACCGAAGCTTACAATCTGAAGTTTCAAACATCTGGCCTCCTTGTTGGTGTAACAGCGTTGACACTGATATTCGAAGCTAAGGATAACTTTAAAGAAATTCTTGTTTCATAAAGGTAAATGGGAAATGAAAATAAAATTCCCCAGATGCAATCATTCGTTACTTCATTAGCATTTCCAGAGGTCTGAAATAGTGTGTTACATGAAGTCTGCTCATTTCAAAACCGAATTCTACACAAGAGACTTTGCGAAGTGGCCGTCCTCCTGTAAAGGTACAGTGTATCTTTTGCATGAGAACGGCCACTTCGCAGTCTCTTGTTATTTCCGGTCGTGACAACTTTTCCTGAAGAACCGAAAGCGGCAAACTTCGGCTTCTTGATGGGCGCCCCTTTGTCAACAAGAAAAATTCCAGTGCATTTGAAGTTGTTTGCTCGTCTTTTGGGCTTGTATCGGCTCTTCTGAGGAAAAAAAAACAGATTCTGAAGAACGAGAATCCGCCGAAACTGTTAAAGTTGATGAATTTTTGAATGGCTTGGATTTGAGTTCCCTTACTACCATTTGCGTTCAGCCGTGAAGCGTGAACGTTTTTTCCTGCATGTTTACTTTTCAAACGAGACAATTTCCGACACAACGAAACATTTTCATTGCTTCAATTGTCATAGCTGTGTGCGAAACTGTCTCGTTTTAAAAATAAACGTGCACGAAAAAACATTCACGCTTCGCGGTTGAACGCAAATGGTAGTAACGCGGATACGGCGACGAAGTGAATCGCGAGCGACCACCTGTAGCTCGGCGCCTCACAATGCCCCCTCAATTCAAAACTCTCAACACGAAACAAAAGTAGTGTAAAAAGGCCGGTTTTGGCTCGTTTTCGTTAATAAATTATCATTAATTCAAATTAATTTGACGATAACTCACTTTACTCACGCTCATGAGTTTTTCTCACGCGTTCACGAGTTTACTCACGACTTTTTTCATTTACTACAAATCAATGTAATTTCATGATAATTTATCGAAAATGTCTCAGTTTCAATTCAAAACTCACGAGTTGAAATGAATTTTACTTCATCAGTTTAATTCGAGTTGCGAGTTTACGTCTTTGAGTGTAATTAAGCAAAAATTATCACTTTTTTTGTTATCTATAATAAACTATGGATGTTGAAAAATACAAAAAGAACGTTGAAAATGAAATGAGAGTCGACCTCATGAGAAAAACAATCAAAAAGGAATTGCAAGACTATAGTGATCAACGACAAGATATGCGGTTTGAAAGAGGGGAAATATTTCAACCCACTGTTAGCGAGGTGAAAGAGGTGAAACAAACAATTGATAATAAACAAGATAAACTCATTGAGAAATTGACAGAAAATCAGCAATTAATAACCAATTTAATAGTTTAAGCAACTCCGGCTTCTCCGAATTCACTTCCATCACTTCCAACTCCACCAAGTCCACCTATATACCATGCCGATATTGATAAAAATTTTACCCTATATAAAATTCAAAGATTAACAGAATATAACTTGGCTCCACCATCTGTTATAATGGAGGCTATATTAAATAAAACATTATAACATAACCAAAGTAAAGCGCGCGCTCTGATTAGTCAGCTTAGCGTCCCCCATTTGCCCATAGGTGTACGCTGCTGACGTGAGCAAATGCAAAGCGCGCGCGCTTGTTTTTTTCTGGTCGCGTAAGATTTGTTAAATAAAAGGGAACTCTTTAGCTGCAATGTATCAATGTTATGTTATAAAACAAATGGTAAACACCACAGCGTACACTATTGAGTTATGGATGCACTTGGGAGGTTTGCTAAGCACTCAAGAAGCTAGAGTCGCTCTCGGCTATCGCCTCGAGCGACTCTTACGCTTCTTTCGTGCTTAGCAACCTCCCGCGTGCATCCATAACTCAATAGTGTACGCTGTGGTGTTTACCATTTGTTTTATAACATAACATTGATACATTGCAGCTAAAGANAAGCAGAAGTTAACTCTTACAGGTAAAAAACAAGCTAAAGAAGGAAACACATACCAAAGTGGAATAGGACTTAACCTTAATCCAAACGATTTTACAAAACTGATCCAAGAATTTGACATCATCAATTTGAAAATTTCAAGTGAGCTGAAAACCTTTGAAACATGCATTCCTGAATTAACAATCAGACCAGTGGTGGAGAAACTTCCCTATGACAGAAACACTGTTTACAGTTTCGTAATTTACGATAATGAAACAAACACGTGCGGAAAAACCGCAGAAATATGTCAACTTTCAGCAGTTGATCAATCAGGTTTGCACTGTTTCAACATCTATCTATTTCCTTTGAGGGAGGTAGAAATTCCTGCTACAAGGGTAAATGGTTTAAGTGTCCGAACAGTCAGAGGAGTCAGGACCCTGTTCAAAGACAATCAACCAATAGAAACTGCGTCACTTGGAAAGTCACTGGAAAATTTTCTAACCTTAGAGAAAACTGTCAGGCGTGTGAAAAGCGATAACAACATTTATACTGTTTTAATCGGGCACGACACTCGGGTTTTCGATACTCCAACCCTTCTTCGTCAAGGTGGACATCAACTTTGTGAAAAACTTTCCTGTCGTAAAGTTTTCTTTTCTGACACTCTCCCTGTGATCATAATTAATAGCGGGGTCCCTCTATTAACTATGCTGTGATGAAGAACTTGGTCAAACGTAAACATCCCTCTCTGGTCTCATCGGATGGTTCCACAGCTAAATTAAAACAACAATCCATTTACCAGACACTTTCCCATGAACCTTTCCCCGCACACGATGCAATGGAGGATGTTAAAGCTCTAAGAAGAATAACCTTTGACTCCTGTTTCACCATTTCAGAGGACATGTTGATAGAAAACATGCCATCAACACAGTACGCAGAAAACGACATGAACATCCTTGATCGTCGCTACGAACTCCTGCAGACGTTCCGAGGAACTCTTCATCATCCAACAAACGCAGAATTTCCCATGAAGCAACAGATTGCTGAAAAAATAGCCGGAAGTGGCATTTCATACCGAGATCTCAAAAATGTTTTCGAGAAGTTCGGAGCAAAAGGGCTTGTTAGCGTATTGTCTCTGCTTCCATCTTCAACAACTTGCAAAGCCCCGCCAGTAACAAAAACAAACCATATTTTAGCAAAGATCGTTGAAAACTTCAAAGCATTGGAGGAAACTACAAGTTAACACGCATTTCCATATGTTTTTCCACACGCAGGTATATTTTTCGCCGTGGTGGGGAAAAGTACGCGGCGATTTCTCAGAGTTTCAACTGGCATGTGCTGAAGAAAGAGCGACGCGAGCATGCGCATTACCGTAAGTTGAAGAATTTCTGTTTTGATGACGTCACGAAAACCAAGGGTTTCAGACTGATCTAAAGGCGCATATTGGGCGCGTTCCAGACGGTGAATTTTTTTGAAAATTGGCACATGGATAGGATTTTCCTTTTCCTAGCTCTTACAAAAAAGTCATCGAATTTTATACATACATAAATGTAATACGCGTCAAAAACGAAAATTGCGAATTACTCCGAAAATTATGTACAGATTTTCTTGTGGCTTTTATATCAGTTGAAACTCCTTGGATGTTAACTCTGTTTCCCCAAAAACAAAGAAAATTCACCGCGTAGAAACCGAGAAACACCGTCTAGAAGTGACGTAGGTCAAAAAAGCAAGCCAAGCATTTCTAAGAGTAGTTGCCATAGCAACAGCTTTGAAGTTCTGAAAGGGTCTTCCATATATAGTCTAAGGCTGTAGGCTTTCATTACTGATCTTCTATGGAGTGCTGTGAGATAAAAATTTGCCAAGGGAGACTGAATTATTCATGCATATGTAATACCCAAAGCCTCGTAAAATACTATATAGAGCCACCTTAAGGTCCCTAGTGTTGTTTATGAGCAACCAGCAGATATAAGTTTAATAGACCTGTTGACAATAAGGTACAATCCCAAAAAACAGTACTCTTCAAGAGCGATAAAAATATTAAATGATCTCAACAAACTAGCACAACTACTGAAACACAAATATTCTGGTAAAAGTAAACTTCCCAATGGTGGTACAATTTTTTCATCTCCAAAAGATCTGATAGAAAGGTTAACTTTGTTAACAGGAACCCGACGCACTGGTAATACAAATATACAGCTAAGAAATGAAATTTGGGAAATTCTTGATCACCTGTTGAAACTTGGTGAAATTTCGAGAAAACAATATGATACATATATTTAAAATCATTTGACGTAAAAAATGGAAACACCTATTTTTATCAATTGAGTTGATGGCACAGGCAAATAAAAAAGCCACGATTTTACGATCCGCTTCAATCCAGTATTGAACTTTGATAAAAACAAGAACTATTACTTTGCTCATGCCTCGATATCAATGGCATACAGTTGGTATAATGTGAGTAGCAGCTACAACAACTACAAACTATCTTTTAGTCATGATTCAGGCTAAACATGGCATTGTATGACACTACCAAACGGTAATTTTTCATATGAGGAATTAAATGTTTACATACAGAGAGAGCTCGAAGCTGATAATCATTCAAAGACAGGTATTACAATTCAATTTGTTCCATCACTTTTCAAAGTCTTGATTGCTCTCGAAGCCAATTATCAAATTGATCTAAGAAATGGTGAATTTGCAGACCTTCTTGGTTTTTATCAATAAAGATTTGGAAATGCAAAGACTGGCCAATACCAACGATAAAAACCGACGTTTCGGTGTCATCATGACGCCATTGTCAAGGAGAAATAAAAAATTACAAAGTTTGTGGCAAGGTGTAACACTAAATTAGCATAAATATGTTAGGAGCTAATTAAACAAATACTTTTGCGCGAATTGAATCGCTTTGCGCGTTCAGAGTGGGTTTTAGGACTCTGATGAAAAGCATTTCGTTCACCAAACAATTGAACTTGTTACTACA